TCAGTGTTGTCTCACTTAAAAGATCCTCCACAGGCTGTTCCCAGCTACCTTTGAAGTGAGCTCTTCACTTCCATTTAACAACTGAATAAACAGCAAACAGGCCGATTAAAGAGCTGCGAGCTGCTGTGTCGTTGACACAATTAAAGATTCATTTACAGAGGATTGTAAAGACGCTTTTATGACACTGAATCTGTGGATGGGAAACATCACACTGTCACATCTGTCAACACGTTACGTCTGAAGCCGGCAGAGCTCAGAGTGAACGTTATCATCCAGTCTAATCTTTCATGTTTCATTTACTAAAGTTTGAGCTCACAGCGCTGCCGTGTCATGTCTCTGCATCCTCGACATCCACAACCCGTGCACGGCCACCAAAACAGTCACACTGTGTTTATTACAAGTCTGGCCCCTATTTTGGGCCAATCAAAACTCTTACATGACGGTGACTCATCTCATCCATCTGTCGTGAAATAACTGGCTTCTCTCAGAGTGCAGTAAACATGTCTGTCGTGCAGCGCGGCGTATTAGTCAGCTGGCGAGCACCCATTCAAAGCCCGAGCCAGTTAAATAAGAGTTTGGGTCATTACAGGGTCCTCGGAAAACTGTTGTTCCCTGTAATGTTCCCAAAAAGTCTGAGAACAGCTGAATTAGTCTGCTGTTACAGTAAAGGGACAGAGCAGTGCGATTCACAGCTTTGTTCATTCTAAGAACTGCAAGAAGAATCAAATTTCCTCTGTTTTCTTTCCAAGCTGAATTTCTACAACACAAGAGAAAAAACATTTCCGCTCATTTCCAGCTCCATGCTGTTAAACTTAGAGTAGCTTTGCATGATTTCCAGCTCAAACACACCCTGACTCGTTTCACACAGGGCCTCGGTGATGGAGACGGAGCCTTCTTTGATATCATACGGATCAGACACTGCTATCCATACTTTTCCTTCATGTCGTGCTACAGCGCTGGAGGAAGGACAGAAGCCAGCCTGTGCTATAACTTCATTAAGGCTGGAGTGGAAGCAGCAGGAATTTAAAAGCCTGGATAAATAGATTCAGCCGGCGTGGCTTGGTGCCACTACAGAGGGAGAGAAGAGTGTTTTTGCAATTTTAGCAAAGCGCACCTTTACCTCCTCACGTGATGGTAGTTACAACATTCCACGTGAAATGATGCGTCTACTATCAAACATGCTTTCAAATCAGTGAAATCTGAAAGCTTCTCAAACCTTCAGAAACTCTTCGAGGAATCGTTGGGTTGGTTCAGCGAGGAGTGAAAATCCATCAGCTTCTTTCACACAGTTATCCAGCAAGTTATTAACAGGAGAACATGATGCAATTAACTGACAGCTGTCTCCCGGTGTCCTCTCTAAAGTCCAGTTTGGTAAAACAAAAACATCAATGCAGCCCGTTTGTGGTTGAATTGCGCCCATGCTTTTACTCCTTTCTCATGTCTCCAGTCCTCAAGATCTAATGGCTTTCCCAGCTTTTGCTCCCCTTGGAGCTCCGCCTTATTACATTTTGTCACATATAATGTCATCAGCTGGCGTGATCCTCGACAACTCGTCCATTCGTTCACCTCCTGCAGCCACGGCCAAACTCTGCGCTCGGCACTGACAGCGCTGTTTTGTGAGGGAGTCCCCGCTGACCCGAGCCGGATCAGAGGTTCACTCGGAGCTCTTATCGCTCGACCTGATGCTTGTTCATATCAGAGCTGCAGGGCAGCTTCGCAGCAGAGCACGGCATCCGTTAAATCTGTCCAAAGACCGGGGCTTTTACACCCCCTGACTGTCTTCACTATTCACAGCAAAAAGCAGAAGAAAAAAACGGAAACACCGGCACATGGCTGGTGGGATTTTGTACTCGTGGCTCTATTTCTTTCAGTTTTTTCCTTTTGTGTGGAAAACTGGAGGACCGGCCCCAACGTTACCGTTCAGGTACTTCGAGCCCCGACGATGGAGTCTGATCAGATTTATTCATCTGATTTATTCTGTTATTCGAATTCTCACATTCATTCCACTATTCAGCAACTGCAGCAACAAGATCAGCAGAAATGACAACAATGAGCCGAACGCTGCAACATTACAGGGAGAGCAAACAAAATCATAATGAAAACATCAGAGTGCAGCGTCTTCACAAAGTGTCCGGCTGTTACGTGCGCCGTGTTTGCTTTGTGGCGCCGAGCTTTGCTGTGATATGGAAGCTATTAAAAGGAAGAGGCGGCGACAGCTCGTGCTCACTGACAACATTATAAATGATCCACTAATAGTTTTTCACGTCGTCCAGTTGCGCTAACTAATGCAGACCTTTCACTCGGAGCAACGTTCAGAGTCACAACCGTGACAGCCATGCTAAGGTTGGGGTGGTTCCTGTCACATGGACGGTTTAGTGTTGAG